TCAAAAGTTGTAGGATACAGCAAAAGTAATACCCAAAAAGAAATTTATACCACTAAAGATATACACTAGCAAAAGCAAAAATCTATATTTAATGTGAGCATCCAACTGACAAAGTTATAATTTATACTGGGTTATCTTAACTAACATTACTAATGGTAGGGACCACACAGTAGAATTTTCTTAAAGCCAATTTGGAAGTTGTGAAGACTTGATTTAATTAAATTATAATTAATGAATTATCAGTTCAGAGCTTTCCTGATCACTACAGATATTTCTGAAGAATGGGTCTTATGACCATAAGTCAAGGCAGACTTTTGATTTTTACATGAGGTGCACCTTTCTCCTCCATTTTATTTCAGTAATTCCCCTATACCTTTGGGTACCTTGCTTTAATTTATTTAGATCCCAGATATAACTGTAATTTGAGACCAAGCATTGAGAATTCCATTAAATGTTGTATATTACTGCATTACAAAATATGGTTAACAATTCAAAATTATTTTTATTGTTTAAAAAACATTTATTTATTTATTTATAGAGAGAAGGGAAGGGAGGGAGAAAAAGAGGGAGAGAAACATCAATGTGAGAGAGAAACATTAGTTAGCTGGCTCTTACACATGCCCCAACTGGGGACCAAACCCACAGCCCAGGCCTGTGACCCAACCTGGAATCAACCAGCAATGCTTCACTTAGAAGAACAGTGCTCAACCAACTGAGCCACACAGGTCAGGGCCAAAATTATTTTTAGAGACTCAACATCCAAAGAGTGTCCTTTAATCATTTTTCTTTAATTCTAATTAAGTCAAACTCTCTACCATTTTCAATATGTTTTCTCCTCTTGCTCCTTTGCTCAAGTCCCTACCTGCTTTATATTTTAGGTACTAGGAAACTATCAGAGGATTGTGCAGTCTCTCTGGCCTGGTATCCATTAAAGTTGTCCTTCAGAGGGCCAAATCAGTGTCATCAGGGTTAGAGACCTCGCCTATGAAAATGATTGCTATGTAGGAGTTAAGGACCTGGGGCCTGAATCCTACTGCTGTGTGCCACAGACATGCTATAAATGTTGTCCCAATAACCAGAGAGTCAGGATCTGCATTGCAGTTGAAACAGAGCCAGCAGAGGTACTTAAGGGTCCTGCTAAACTCTCTGGTATTAGGAGAGTAAACTGAGCCCACTATCATCGGGCTGCTTTTCCCAGTCTCTTCTCTTTCTCTCCCTGAAATAACTTCTCTTTAAGATGTGACCATCAGATATGCATACCTTATTCACACCATACAATATTTCTTTGGCCACTAAGATCCTCTCCTGCTATCAAGGCAACCCCACCCTCTGTCACAGCCTCACTCTGAGGAAAGGCAGTATCCAACATAAGCATCCCACCCAGGATCATTTTAAAATTACACCATTCTAACAGTACTACTCCCAAAGGTAGATCCAACCTTGCCACATGTGGCAGTCATCATCAGCTTGCACCATACCTTGCCCCGAGTTACTCCAACAATGGTACACACAACAGCCAGCCTTGGTTCTCATCATAGTCCCTTCTAATCAACCCAGGTCTGATAAACTGCAGCAGCTGACCCTGGCTAAAATCACTGTTCCCCAACCCACAACCTGCATCTGGCCTCAGCCCACAGCCAGCCACTCCAAAGAGGCTTCGGAGTTGGCATACTTGGAAACCAGCTTTGTCTCATGGGAGTGCCACACCCAAGTTACCCCATAAGGGACACACTGAAGGGGAGACTCAGTGAGCACCAGACCTCCCTAGCAGCTGCTGCTCCACTGGGGCCAAGCCCCACACAGCAGATTGTGCACATTAATCATGACCAGTTTTATCAGCATAAAAAAAGTCCCACTCATGATAGTACCTACACCAATCCCCACCAAACTAAGACAGAAAGGCACACAGAACCCACCCAGGAGACACCAGTAGAGCACCTGTCTCTGGTGACAAATGCGGATTATGCCAGGGGGCCCATATAACACTTTCAACATAAAACCACTCTTTTAAACATGGGAAACATAATTGATCTACATAATGCACAGAAACAGAAATAAGCAAAATGAGACAATGGCATACTTTTCCAAATTAAAGAAAAGGAAAAAACTCCAGAAAATGAACTAAATGAAACAGAAACAACCAATCTACTAAAGAATTCAAAGCAATGGACATAAAAATGCTCACCAAAATCATGGTAGAATAGATGAATTCAGTGAGAATGCTCACAAAGAGATAAAAAACATAAGAAAGACACTATTGGAACTAAAGAATACAATAACTGAAATTAAAAAAAAAATACTAGAGGGAATCAAGAACAGTTTAGATGATACAGAAAAACAAACCAGTGATCTGGAAGACAAGATACTGGAGCTCATACAATCAAAATAGTAAAAAGATAAAAAGAATGTTAAAGAACAAAGATAGTTTAAGAGACCCTTGAAATAACATTGAGCATACTAACATTTGCATCATAGGGGTTACAGAAGGAGAAGGAAGAAAAAGACAGTGAACCTATGTGAAGAAATATTGTCTAAAAATGTCCCTAACCTGGTGAAGAAAACTGACATTTAAGTCAGGAGGTACAGAAAACTTTAAATAAGAGAAGCCCAAAGAGACCCATAACAAGATACAATATAATTAAAATGCCAAAAGTTAGAGACAAAACAGAATCTCCTTTCTTTTTTTTTTTTTTAAAGATTTTATTTATTTATTTTCAGAGAGGGAAGGGAGGGAGAAAGAGAGAGAGAGAGAGAAACATCAATGTGCGGTTGCTGGGGGTCATGGCCTGCAACCCAGGCATGTACCCTGACTGGGAATCGAACCTGCGACACTTTGGTTCGCAGTCCGCGCTCAATCCACTGAGCTACACCAGCCAGGGCTAGAATCTCCTTTCTTTACGCCAAGACCTTGCCACCAGAACAGTGTCATGAGAATCATTGCTAAATCTAAACCCAAATAAGTACAATCCAAGACGAAAGAGAGTTGCAACCAACATAACAGAAATACAAAGGATCCTAGTGTATACTATGAACTATACACCAACAAACTGGACAACCTAAAAGGATAAATTCTTAGAAACACACAATCGTCCAAAAAATAACCAGAACGACATAGACGATCTAAACATTACAATTACTAGTAACAAAATCGAACATGTAGTATTAAAAAAAAACTCCTCCAATGAATTCTACTACTTTTAAAGAATACCTATACTTCTTAAACTATTTCAAGAAATTGAAGATAAAAATACTCTAAATTTATTCTACAAAGACAGCAATTCCCTGATATCAAAACTAAAGATACTACAAAAAAAAAAACACAAACCTATATGCCTGAGGAACACAGATGCAAAATTCCTCAACATAATATAAAAAAGCCATTAATGACAGACAAACAGGCACCATCATACACAACTGTGAAAACCTAATAGCTTTCCCCCCAAGATCAGGAATAAGACAAAGAAGCCCACACTCATGACTGTAATCAACGAAGTATTGGAAGTCCTGGACATGGCAACTGGACAAGAAAAAAAAAAATAGAATAAAAGTCATCATAATTGAAAAGGATAAAGTGAAATTGTTGCTATTTGCAGATGATTTAATACTATTTATAGAAAAACCCTAAAAACTATCAAAAAAAACTATTAGACTAAATAAATTCAGCAAGGTTGCAGGGTACAAAAACATACAGAAACCAAAGGCATTTCTACACACTAATAACAAATGATCGGAAAGTGAAATAAGGAAAACAACATAATTTACAACCGCATAAAAATAACTAGCAATAAATTAAATCAAGGAGGCAACGCTTCAAATCTTAAACAATAAGGTATTGATAAAAGAATTTGAACACAACAAACATTTATATAAGGATATACCACACTCATGGATTGGAGGAATTAATATGTTTAAGTGTCTATCCCACCCAAAGCTTCACTACATCCTTATCAAAATAATAATGGCATTTTTCAAAGAAACAAAGCAAATAGTTCTAAAATTTATGGAAACACAAAAGACCCCAAATAGTCAAGGAAACACTGAGAAAGAAGAACAAAGCTATAGTATCAGTCTCAATGATTTAATGTACACTACAAAGCTTTAGTGCTTAAACATTATGATACTGGCACAAACGCTGACGAAATAGAACAGAATACAAAGCACACAAATTAACCCAAGCTTATATATATGGTCGATTAATCTACAATAAAAGAGGCAGGAATATACAGTGGGGCAAAGACAGTGTCTTCACTCAGTGGTGTTAAGAAAATTGAATGGACACATGCAAAAAACTGATCATGAACCACATTCTTATACTATATATAAAAATAAACTCAAAGTGAATTAAAGAATTAAATGTAAAACTTGGAACGATAAAACTCCAAGAAGGACACATAGTCAGTAAGCTCTTTGACACCAGTCTTAATTTTTTTTGGATGTGTCTCCTCGTGGAAGGACAAGAGCAAAAATAATCAAATGAGAAGACGTCAAACTAAAAAGTAACCAATACCTAACTTAGATATTTCCATATATTATTTATTTAAAACAAAGACATTTATATATGACATATCTTATAATCACTAATCACCATATTTAACATTTACATTTTAAAATTAATTTAACTTTTTTGCCCTTGGCTGATGTGGCTCAGTGGATTGAGTGCAGGCTGCAAACCAAAAAAGGTCGCCTGTTCAATTCCCAGTCAGGGCATATGTCTGGGTTGTGGGCCAGGTCCCTGGTAGGGCACGTAAGAGGCAACCACACACTGATGTTTCTCTTCCTCTCTTTCTCCCTTACCCTCTCTAAAAATAAATAAATAAAATCTTTAAAAATGAAATTAATTTAACTTTTCGACAAAGAAAACCACTCCCAAATTCAATCTTTTAATCATTTAAGAATACACTACTGCAGAGCATCAGAATCTTACAAATCTTTCTGATAAAAAAAAAAAATGAGGTACATTCTAATATATTTAACTCTGAAGATAGTTATATAATGATTACCTGCATTAGGGGTTTGTAATTAAACTCCTCCCCCAAAATGAATTAGAAATTCCAAAGATTTCCATGTTTTGAAGTGTTTTCCTAAAATCAAAGAATATAGAAATTCAATATAGAAATTGCTTTTCCTTATATCCATTTAGATAGGAATTCATTTGCCTTAAAATTAGTATGACCTTTTAACAAACTTTTCTAGAGATATAAACATACAAATAATAACCAAAAAAATGGGAAAAGCATCTGAGACACTCATCTCACATCTTTTGGTTCTCTTGCCTAAATAGAACCAAAATTCTATCAAGAACTAAAATTCTATCAATTACAGAATTCCCTTGTTTTACATGGTGTTTCTCAACTTACACACTAAAAGCTTAAATGCTAAGGTAAACTAAAAGAAAAGAGCTGTAATGTTCAATGGAGAAAAAAAATCCAAAGAAAAGAAACCCAGACCTCAGAATCAAAATACATCAGTCTGTTTCCCTAGAGGTCAGAAGAAAAACCCATGTTAAAAAAATTGAATCTATTCCCGATGTGAATGAAAAGGGTCCTGGGCAAAGCTCAGTGAGGAAAGTCACCTCAATGGTGATCCGGTGATCCGATCACAAATTTGTAACTGGGTGTGTCAGGAAGGGTCATCCAGCCTCAGGCCTCATAGCCCTACTACAAGCTTAGAACACCTTTGAAATGTGAGAGGTCTTTTTCAGACCCCTGAGCTGTAACGACCCTCAAGGGAGCACATCATCTTAATCAGCTTCCTGTAATCCAGTCCTGGCCTTGCTGTCTTTCACCTTCATGTAATCTTCTTTGTGTTTCCTCCTTAATATCAAAAGTGGTAAAAGACCTGTGAACTGTCATTCTCAGGAGCAATTTCTAGTCTGTTGGGATCTTGCTTCCAGGCCTATTCTGGATTTAAGCCAAACAAATTATTTTTCTACAACTTTGAACACTTTTATGTTAACACCAGATTTGGGGTTCAGACAACCCCAGCTGAGACAAAACCCGGAGAGCAGGTCAGTGGGTGGGGAAGGAGGGCCAGGACACCTGAGCAGGCCCAGGACCTACTCTCAGAGCTCCACCCTGTCCTGTAAGCAAGGGAGCGCTCCCTCCCCCAGGCATCCACTCTCACAGTAAGGAAACTCCAGCCTGTTTTAGTTTAAGATTCTGACCCAAATTACACCCCAATTTCATGAACCATTGGTCCATGAGATAAAACACCTGATGTTCAACTTTCTCGATGTGCACAAACTATAATCTGAATGCAAAACAACAAAATCTAAAGCCTAAAAAGCCATAACTACGACCTTAGAAAGGGCATTATCACTAACCCCCTTCCCCACCCCTATCTGGGCTGTTTCCCATTCCCCAGCTGCCTTGCATGCCCAACTTTCCAGGCTCCGTGGCCTTTCTCAGTTTTGCAAGACAAAGCCCTGGAATTATATATTAAAACCCCGAAAATAAAACTAACATTAGAAACCTATATACATGCTCAGAAAGAAAGAGTGAAAGAATTCTACAAAAATAGAACTGATGCACTGCAATATTTTTATTTTTTCTGAGTTCACACCCTTCGTGCCTGTTTGGAACTATTTTATGCCGTCTTTCAAGCTCTATTAATTACCTTTACCCTTATTGAAAATAAATGATGCTTAAATTACTAAATGTTTTCAGTGACAAAGCCAGGGAGGGGCAGTGCTGACAGGGGAGAACAGCCAGGAAAGTTTCCAAAGAGAGAAATCTTGACCCGAAGGACTTCCCCGAGGATGTCTGTGCCCAGGGGAGGTCCTAGGGGAAGACCAACTAAGATCTCATCCATGTCTTCCAAATGGTTATTGTCGCTTTCCTCTCGTGTAAAATGTCCACAACAAAGATAAACTGTTAAAAATTACTTCTTTTTGATTAGTATTTACTATTTTTTGAAAAGTCAAACTGTGACTCCAAGACCTATACATGGCATTGAGAATTTGAGGAGGGATTTGGAAATTTGGAGATGTATTGCCATTTCTAGGAAGAATCAGCGTGGGAGAACAGGATGTTGGATTTGAGAAATGCTTCCCGAACAGTTTGAAAACTCAGGGTGGGGGAAACTGTTATCCCAGAGGTAAAAAGAAGACCGCAGCTCCTCCGGCTTAGGAATCCCGGAAACCAAAGTCGGAGCCGGGTCCAGGTCACTCTCGCGTCAGCAATCTCCACTTTTGATCACGGGGAAGACGGGTCGTGCCTCGGACGTTTCCAAGGGGCCCCTCGTCCCCAGCATAGGACCCCAGCCAGGCACACTCACCATTTCCCAGCTTCTGGGATCTCCCTGCATGGTCCCTTCCGTTCCCGCGGTGGGCACCAGTCACAGCAGGACTGATGTTGCAGCAGAGGTGCCTACACCGTTCATGCCCAGTAGAGACTCGACCCAAGGAAGCCAGGAAAGTCCACAGGTTTGTTGAGCTGCGCCACCTGCCCTGCTCCGCCCCTGATTGGACAATTCTCAAGGACCCACCCCCTATATTTCTTGAGCGACAACTGAGGAAACGGCTCAGATGGCTAAGCAGAACCAGCTTCCGCTAGTGGGTGGGATCATCCTCTCCAGGGACGTTTCCTTTTTTTTTTTTTTAAATCAACATACGAACTAACAAAAGTAAAGTTATGGTCAAACACGCACTTTTATGAGGAGAAAAAGTGACTAGAAGGAATTTTATGTTAAACTCCTTACAGTAACCTACTTGCAGTTGCAGTTAACTGATCTCTGTTGCTGTGAATACAGCTCTCACACAGGTATGAACTATTTGTATATTTTTTCAAATACCCACTGAACACTACCATATATTAAATTTGGAAAAGAATGTAATTGACGATCCCCAGGTATACTTCAATTTTGTTGATCTTTTGGACGAGGTCGTGTAAAGAGACAGGTATGTGTTTTTGGCTCATCAATCATGCCATGAACCCAGCACAGCCTGTTGGACACCGAGTCTCCTCCACCCCTCTTCAGACATTGGACGGCTTTGGGGTAGTTGTTTGCAAAAGTTCTTTGCGTGACATTACATTCCTGTCCTCATTGTGTTCGTGGAAGTATTTGAGCACTAGATCTGCTCATGCGCTATTTGCGTTTGTTGGGGTTTGGTAGTTGCCTCGGGGCAGAAAGAGCAGGCTCAGCTATCAAAGGTTCTCCTAGCGCCAAGACAAGGACTGGACTGTGACCAACCCTAGGATCGTTTGCTTTTAAACAAAACTTCTTCCCGATTCTAAAGAAATAGTGATGTCTTCCTGCAGCTTATTCTGAACGGGGACACAGATGCGCATAGGGAATTCCAGATGTTGCAATGCTCTTCTCCTCAGCAAAAGGGCCCACCCAGGCCAAGCCAGACTGGTACCAGAGGGAGGGAAGTCCTCCCTGGGTCAGAGGGTGGCAAACACACTTAAAAATGTTAACCCTACGCACACTCCTGCAGGGTCCTCGGCGGTACATCTGGCCTTCCTTCCATTCCTGTCTCACTCTCCCCACTCCGTCACTTCTGCCTGCCAGGATCACTCCAAAATAAACCACATTTATCCCCCTCCCCCCACACACAAAAAATGTCTATGGCTTGGAAAGACGTTCATGATATATTGCTAAATTAAAAGGAAGTGTGAGCCCTGGCCGGTGTGGCTCTACTGGTTGGGCGTGGTTCCGCAAACCAAAAGGAAGCAACTTCAATTCCTGGTCAGGGTGCACATCTGGGTTGAGGTTCTGTCCCTGGTGCATGCGAAGGGCAACCCAGTCAATGTTTCTCTCTCATATTGATGTTTCCCTCTCTTTCTCCCTTCCTTCCCCTCTACATAAATATATATTTTTAAAAAATAATAATTGTCAAACAAAAAATGTTTACAAACACTTAAAAATTACTTTAGCATATACAATAAAGAGTCTGGCTCAATTCTGATGTTTGTTGACAGTGTTTAGACTTCCACCCAGCCCATCTCCACCTCCACACCTGTGGAGGTATTTTAGCTAGAGTCCCATGGCTTCCCAAACATTTGGATCTGGTGGAGAACTTGAACCAGGCAGAGCCACGTGGACACAGGCACTCTTCTGTGGACAATCATAAGCTTGAGCTGTGTTCAGTAAAACTTACAGGTGTGCACTTTAAAGTAGGGGACATTTATTTTTCATAATTTTTGAGTGTGTGCCTAGAGATTTTGTAGTGTAAATGGTTATGATATCCGTAAGGCAACTGAATTTCTATTTTCACCAACATAAAAACAATAAAAGATTTTGGAAAATGGGATGTATGTGAAAACTCATTGGTTCAAAGCTTCTAGTTATTTATACATTTGGGGTTTTTTTCTGTTCATTGAGTTTTTAATTCTAAAAATTTACACACCAAATTATTGTACACCAAAATGTTAATGATCATTGCCTTTCAGTGGAGTGTTATCAGGAACATTTTTTATGTTTCTACCTTGCACATAATTATTTATATATTTGAATAGCTTTATTGAAGTATAATAGCCATGCCATATAATGCATCCCTTTAAGGTGTACAATTCAGTAAAAACACATTATGGGAATAGCTAAAAAAAAAAAAAAGACAAAAATAAAAAAACCAGTGTAGTCCCAATCACTGAAATTTTCCAAAAATTCAAGACAGAAAACTGTTAATCGAGGAAGCTCACATGACACTAAACATAATAAACAGCAAAACAGCACAAAAATCACACAGGATTTGCTCTCACATCACAGAGTCATTAATCTAGAAACCAATAACAGAACAGCTGGAAAATCTCAAATTTGTGATCATACAACAGGACACTTTTAAATAATATATGGAATTCAAAAAGAAGTCTCAAGAGAAATTTAAAAAGTTACTTTGAACTCCATAAAAGAAAAATACATCAAAATTTGTGAGACACCACAAAGGCTATAATGCCCAGTGTTCCTTTATGTCACCAAATACACCAGCAAAGAAAAAACCTATAGTCATTAATATGAACATCCAACATAGAAAATTATAAAAGAGAAAGCTAATTAAACCCAAAGTAAGCAATGTAAAATAGAAATCAGAAAAGTAATTGATGTAATTGTGGGAGGTTGATTTAAAACTTATAAGAAAAATAACTGTTTCTTTGACTGAATGAATAAACAGCTACTAAATATAACTAAGAAAAGAGGGAAGGGATTACAATATAAAGGAATTACAGGAGTAATTATAATATAAAGCCATCACCCGCCATGGGTAACTCCACGAGGTGTGAGAAGTAGTCACTTAAACTTTATAATGAAAGAGTCTTTGAGGACATGACCAGTTGTGCCTGCTGTGTGACAATTTAAACATTCTGGAGCCTGCTGCAGTAGGAGTATGCATTCATTGGTTGTTTCTTGTATGTGCCCTGACCAGGGATCAAACCTACAACCTTGGGTATCGGGATGATGCTCCAACCAACTGAACTACCCAACCAGGGCTGAGAAAAATCACTTCTTTTTATCAAGTTACTTATAACAGTTTTCAATTCTTGAAGGCCATGTTTAATTTACATTGGGCCATACTAATTAACATTAGTAAATGGTAAGGACCATAGAGTCTCATTTTGTGAAGCCAATTTAAAGTGGTAGACTTAATTTAATCAAATTTTAATTTAGACAGTATTGTTTCAGAGCTTTCTTGCTCACTAAGGGTATTTTAAGAGAGTGGGTTATATGACCATAAGCCAGTCAAAGCAGACTCTTGATGTTTAAAATAAAGTATAACCCTTTCTCCTTCATATTAATTCAGTAATTCCCCTAAGATCACAGGGTACCCTGCTTCAATTTACTGAGATCCCAGTTATAATTATAACTTGAGACCCAACATTGAATTGTATGAAGGATTGTGTATTACTGTGTAACACAAGATGGTTAACAAGTCAAAATTATTCTTAGAGACTCAAAATCCAAAAAGTGCCCTTTATTTTTTATCTGTAAATTCTTTCTGTATAGTTTGGATTTTCAATTGGAGCAAATTGTTTATCTTTTTAATTCTTGTTTCTTTTCTCATGCTGTTGTCTATTTTTTTATTTTTTGCCACTATATAAATATCAAGGGAGTGTGTAATCTGCCAACTCTGCTACTCAAAATCTTTTTCCTCCAAGGGTCTCAAATCAGTAGCACCAGGTTTAGAGGCCTCTACTATGGAAATAATTACTGCATAGGACTTAAGGACCCTGGGCTTGAGTCTAGTTCAAACTAATCCCATTGCTGTGCCACAGAGTGTAAATGTTGTCCCCCAAAACAGAGGCAGGATCTGTGTTGCAGTAGATGCAAAGCTGCCAGCAGCAGAGGCAATTAAGGGCTCTGGTGAGATCTCTGGTATTAGCAGAGTGGACTGAGCCCACTATCTATTTGCTGCTTTTCCTGAGCTCTTCTCTTTCTTCCTCTGAAATAACTGCTATTTAAAAGGTAACCATTATATAGGTGTACCCCATTCACAAAATACATCTTCCTCATTTCCTCCTATGACCCTCCTACTACTGCCAGGGCAACCCCAGCATCTATGACTCTTAAGATTTTTGCAGGTTCCAGGAAAGACATCTACTGAAGACCATTTTAAAATCACATCACACTAATAGCACTACTCCCAAAGGTAGATTCAGCCTCACTGCTTATGGCAGTCATCATCAGCTTGCAACACACCTTGTTCCAAGCAGCCCCAACAATGGTACACACAGCTGCCAGTCTTCGCTCTCATTGTGGTCCCTCCTATGTGGCCTTAGACCTGACACATGCAGCTGTTGACCCAAGACACCAGAAAATGAACTAAAGAAACAAACAGGCAATCTACCAAATAAAGAATTCAAAGCAATGATTATAAAAATACTCAACAAAATCATAGAAAAACAGATAAACTCAATGAGAATGCCAACAAAGAGATAAAAAACATAAGAAAAAAAAACAATCAGAACTGAGGAATACAATAATTGAAATGAAGAAAACAATAGAGGCATTCAACATCAGATTGGATGACACAGAATAAAAATCAGCAATCCAGAAGGAAAGATAGTGGGAATTACACAATTGAAACAGAAAAAAAGATAAAGGACTGTTAAATAACAAGAATAGTTTAAGGGACCTGTGAGACATTAAGCATACTAACTTTCACAGCATAGGGCTTCCAGAAGGAGAGACACAGAGAACCTATATGAAGAAATAATTGCTGAAAAATGTCCCTAACATGATGAAGGAAACAGACATCCAAGTTGGGAGGTATAGAGAATGCTAAACAAGGGTACCTCAAAGAGGCCCAAACCAAGATACAACATAATTAAAATGACAAAAGTTCAAAATAAAAACAGAATCTCTTCTTTTTTACCATATGTTTTGTCATAAAAATAGTGTCGTGAAACCCAACACTAAATCTAAGCCACAATGGAAAAAGAAAACTCATAGCAATCTCATTG